GTAAAGTTGGATGGCGAACAGTACACGGAATTGGGAACAAGAAAAAAAAATTGTCGGCAAGACGTCTCGTTTCGTTCCTATTACAAAAATAATATTAAAAAAAATAAAGTTATAAGAGTTTTTATCAAAAAAAGCGTTTCAGATACGCACTTTTAGAATGTTTGTTGAAAAAACGAAATGAAAAAAAAAAAATTTAGCGACAAATACAAGAGACATCGAAATGAATTTTTAAATGCTTGAGGAGTCTTGGAAAGTTTTTTCGGTGGATTTTGTAAATGGGATTGTTTTGACGCGGAAATAAAAAATTTTCTCGATTCGAAATACGGCAGAGGTGATAATTTTTCTATCAACGTGATTAAATTTAAAGTAGGGAAAAAAAAGTAATTGAACGTGTTGTACGATATAGTCGAGGTGCGTATGATTGAAATGCGAAAGAGAAGAACACGATGTAAGTTTGAGTTCCCGTCTCCTCACTTCTCACAATTAGGTGGCGATTAAACAAATTTTAGCAAAGTTATACATATACATACATTATTTAATATTTGGCATAATATTTATACATAAAAAGTATTTATATATATGTATATTATACATACGGATTATACGGATAATAAAAAGAGAGATAGGAAGAGGAAAACGCGAACGAAATCGCAAGAATGAAGAAAATGATTGGAATAATGTAAGATCGAGGGAATTTTTCAAGATGGAAAAAGGAGCGGATTATGGTGATGATTGTCGGAAAAGTATGAAGCTATGTGATGACTTTAACAAAAACTAGTAGCTTTTAGCTGTAAAGACTTATACTTTATTTTGTAAATTTTGTTTATACAATGTTTGATCGTCGCATGTATGTGAATACATAAAGTTAAACATAAAAACGTTGTACCTCATTACCTTCTGTGACCAATTTTTCTGTTTTTTTTTTTCTTTTTAATTTCTCAAAATTACTTTTTTCCGTGAGAACGACGAAGCAAAAGTTATTCCACAAACTGATTACGTTTTTCCTTCAACTGTCGAACGAACATCGTGCCAGCTGAAATTCGACCTTTTTTCAACAGCGCAAATATAACAACAAATATCCATTTGCCTTCTGCCTCCCCGAGAATTCCAAGCTGAAATTCCCCTCCGCCCGCGCAGAGTTCACCATAGGAATGTACAAATTAAATTTTATTATCGAGGCCGGCAAATAAAACTCTCGAATCGCATTCCTCATCGCTGAAAAAAACCCCCCGCATATATTTTGTTTGGGAAGAAGAAAAAAAACATTATTAAAAATATAAAAACAACCTCGTGTGCACACGCATAGTACGTAACGAGGGAGCCGTATAGTACGAGTATAGCAGCCCTTAAAAGTCAAGTGGCTCCGGAGCTTGTGTGGGGCTCTCTTGAAGAATGATGACACACATGAGGTGCACCCTCGACGGACCGCCCCGAGCCAACACCCTCCTCGTCGTCGCCTCGATTCTCGACAGTGCCAACAAACAGCGTAAATAGTATATATGTTTCGGTGTATTACACTTTCATGGCTAATGAGCTTGTCTCATTGCAGTGGCGCGGTCGTGCTCGCATATTCATGATGGGCCTTATATTTATTCCTGCACCGGGCGGTGCGCATAAAAACTTGCAGAGGAAAAAGTTGACGCTGATGTTGTTTGTTGCACGGATTTTCGGGGATGCTGTAGCTGCGAAGGGAAAAAAAAAAAAAAAAAAAAAAAAAAAAAAAAAGAAGAAGAAGAGAGTAAAAGGCTGCAGGCATTTGCATTGCAGAATAATGCACTCGAGAGAGGTGTGCCACCGGCTTTAAGAGATCCTACTTTTCGAAACAATGACACTTTACTCCACGCCGGATGCGTCAAAGTGCTTTTTCACGAGTTTTCTTTGTTTCTCCGCCCGGAGATAAGGAAATTTAGACGCTGTGTTTTTGTTTCGCCCCTCTTCCCTCATCTCGTTTTGAAAGGAAAGTTCCCTTTTCCCACCCTTTTGCAGGAGTAAACTACTTTTTTTTGTTTTATTTGCTTTTAATACATAATGCAAAGTTATCGGCTCCCTCTCTCCTACAAGTGAAGGTATTCGCTTATGAAATACCTGTACATGACGAGCACCGTAGCATCTTAACGTGATAAAAGTGTTTATTTTCACCCGATTCAACAAGTTTCAGTGCACTCATACACCTCCGTGTATACCTTGAAATTGTTTCTATACCCTCGGAGCTACAAAGCCAAGAATAGCATCGCCGGCGGAATTAATAAAGTTCATCAATGAAAAAGGAAACATCGCCACGAGGTTATGAAATTCTTAGATTTGATTATCTGACGCGAATGCCAACTTTTCCAGAGGACAAATATGAGGTGGCCCGGGTCCATAGAGCCATTATTGCGGGGCGTCCAAGTCCGCGAGGTAAGCCCCGCTGCGCGTATAGGTAAAAAAAAAAAAAAAAAAAAAGAAAAAATAAAAAGGAAACTAATCAACCTCTGGAAGGACGATTGCTCGTACGTCTGGCAAGTGCCGGAGAACCAGCGATGCGACTGGGTCCTCGAGACGGAGGACTGCCAAGTGGGCTCCTTCGTGCCGTACCCCAAGCTCCTCTTCTGCACCTTTGGCACGGCAAACCCCAACCTCTTTGGCCTCGGACTCGCCCTCCTCTTCCTCTGGCTCCTCTACCTCTTTCTCATCCTAGCCATCACTTCCGACAACTTGTACGCTCCCACATGTAAACCCCCCAAAAAAAAAAAAAAAGTGAAATAAAAGACACCACCATTTGGGTCCTCCAACCGCAGCTTCTGCCCGTCGTTGTCGGTGATAGCGTCGGTGCTCCGGTTGTCGGACAACATAGCCGGGGTGACGATACTCGCGTTCGGCAACGGCTCCCCCGACATATTCACCTCGATCGTCTCGAGCGCCGACGAGCGGCTCATGATATTCACCGAGTTGATCGGCGCCGGGGTGTTCGTCACTGCCGTCATAGCCGGCTCCGTGGCCGTGTTTGCCCCCTTCCGCGTCCAGCCCAGGTACCTCATGCGCGACGCCACCTTCTACGTCCTCGCGACCGCTTGGATCTGCTTTGTCGTCTCCGACGACGTAGTCCACCTATGGGAGGCCTGCAGTGAGCTCCTCCCCCATCTCACTTTCTCCCTCTCCTCTAACCCTCGTATACTAAAAAACTTTGCTTCAAGGCTGCGTGCTCGTCTACGTCCTATTCATCCTCGTGGTCGTGCTGATGCAGAAATCCGAGACCCGCCGGGATCGGCGCAACAGTACGTCGTACACCCACCTGACTTTTTGGTTGGCTGTACAGTCAAATTCCTAAAATTGCCTTTCGATCGAACAGAGCGCATGCCTGCCCTCCAAGACCCGGACGCGCTGCGGGCCTTTGTCGAGAACCGCGGAACCGACTGGGGAGCCATGCCCCGGCTACCGATCAGACCGCGCGCCTTCGACCTCCAAGCCAAGCTCGGCAAGTCTCCCCAAACAACAACCGCAGATAAAGTAACTTTGACCGAGTTTTGTATGTATATACATATATAATAGTATACTTTTGTAGACGTCGCGATCACGAGGGAGTTGGGGAGGAGCCGGCAGCTGGACGGGGTCCCCGAGGGGGTTGACGCGAAGAGTAGCTCGAGTAGGCCGAGGGGCCTTTTGGGGGAGTTTTTCTACGACATCGGTCCGGTGAGCGGGGACGAGTGGAGACGGTCCGGTTGGGCGGTGAAGGTACTGCTGGTGCTGCGCTCGCCGCTCATGCTCGTGCTCCAGCTGTTCGTGCCGGTGGTCAACGAGACCGCGGAGAAACGGGGCTGGTCCAAGCTGCTCAACTGCATGCAGATTTGCCTCGCGCCACTCGTCGCGGGACTACTGCTCGAGCGTTTGTCTTTTTTTTTTGTTTCCCTTAGGCTGATCGGTATTGTGCTCGACCGGCTTATCGTTCCATGGTTCCATGTTTTTTGTTTGCAACAGTCTGGACCGTAAAGCTCGGACCCGTGCCCGTGCCGGCCATCGCTTTCGGCTGCACTCTGACGATCGCCGTCCTGATTTTTCTCTTCACCTCGGTCGGCAATATCCCAAAGTACCACAACGTAAGTTGCAATCCACATAAAAATATACACGAAAAGAGAGGCTACTCGGTCATGGCGAAACAATTTTTCATACTTATATAATATATTCACGGACGCACGCGTATATAATTATATACTCGAGCAAACTGTGTATTTACACGCGCCTAAACGGACGAATGTAGGCGCTGGCGTTCTTTGGATTCCTCGGGGCGATGTTGGTCGTTTACGCGAGCGCCCAGGAGGTGATGGCGGTACTCGAGTGCTTGGGCTTCGCCAGTGGCATCACCGACGCCATGCTCGGCATCACCCTGCTCGCCTGGGGCAACAGCGTCGGTGGTAAATATAGTATATACATGTACTATGCCCTTTCGTTAGCTTATCAAGCACAATGTACACATGCGTATACGTATATGTATGTAGGGCTAATTACGCGCGAGCCGCGGTTATCCGCGATGGAGGCTGGTCAGGGAATTCACATCGCGGTTTTGCCTCGGTACATACGCGTATACATGTGTAGAGCCAAGACAGCGAGGAAGCTATTACTACTGGCACATGTATGTGGGTGAACTTGGTTTGCTTTTTTTTTTTTTTTTTTTTACAGAGTGAACGTTTAACCGGCGCATATAACTACATATTTTAGTTCCATGAAGCGGCGTAATTACAAATCAATGGCGCGGAAATATACATAATATGAGGTACGATAATTTTGCGAACTCGAGGATCCCGTAATAGATGGTATACGGTCCATACTGCCCTTATGTAACTTCGTATATTTTGCAAACGAGCTTAACTTTATGGCAACGCGATGGAGCGGTTAAGGGCAGGGGGAGGGGATTGTATGAATAGTTGATTAAATCGCGCAATCGCAGCCAAGTATATATAACTGCACGACATTGATGGAAATAAATTATGTTCGAATTATCGACTGAGACGTACATTATAATACAGTGCATCGTAAAATTTTTTAATGGGTCTAACAGTGTGTATGTATATAGGCTGACGGATAAATTACACGTGAGAGTATAGGGCTGTGATTTGACGCGTTGGAAATTCCAGTTAATTGTTGAAAATCTCTGTTTACTCGTGAAAGTAATACTGGGTTATCGGTGGAAAATCGGAAAACACAAAAATTGAGATCGGTAGAACAAAAGCTCGTACGCGTTTCCGACCGAATTTTTTCGCTTCCCAATTTTCATTCAACCGAATCCGTACGTGGAATTACCGCGCCCCACGTAAACCGATACAACCGAAATCGTATATTTTTCACGTTCAGCCGAACCGATTGAAGAAAATTCCCAACTGACCGAAACCCGTACGTGTATTTTCCCACAGACCTTGTGTCCAACGTAACGATAGCCCGTCGTGGCTTCCCCCGGATGGGCTACTCCGCTTGTTTCGGGGGTCCGATGTTCAATACCCTCGTGGGCCTCGGGCTAACCTACGGCATAGCTGCCGCCCAATCGCCCGACTACAAGATCCGCATCCGCACCAGCGACATGGCACCCGGTTGCCTGGCCTTCCTCTTCTGCTCCCTGCTCGGCTCGATCATGTACCTCAACGTCACCGGCTTCGCGGCCAGGCGCTCCTACGGTTACCTACTCTACACCATTTACGCGGTCTTTTTCCTCGTCAACGTGCTCAGCGAGGTCCACTTTATCCACCCGCTCGGCACCGACCATCGCCCCGACGACGTTATTTGATTCGCTAGCTGCGTGTACCTTTTTGTATGCGTATATTTATCTCGCTGTCTGTAGTGCACACATATGTATACTTTTGTAAGAATAAATCTAGAAGAGCTAATTTCGTGCAGCTGTGGAATAAAAGGTATACATATATATACGTACCGGAAGAAAAATATGTACCAAAAGGGTGTATGTGTATACGGACGAGAGAGGGGAGTGGGTGGGGGATTAAATCAAACATACGGACAGTAGAGAGCGGAGGTGCTCGAACGAGAACTTGGATTAAATTAAACAGGGGCGAGAGGAGGGAAAATACGTCCAAAATTGTCCAAGCTGACGCGCCCAGCGATATTATACGTCAAAATTATTTCCACTCCGCTGTAAAGGGTTGTCCGTCCCCTCCTCGCCCTACTGTTATCCTTGTTTTTTTTTTTTTTTTTTTTTTTACCATCTCCACTTTCCCCTTTGTTTCGAGAGCTTCCTTTTTTTGCAAGTCTCGGATTTCCCCGTTTGTGTACATAAAATAAATGTCGGTCGCTCCCACCGACTCGCAGATTTTAATTCAGATATTTGGCGCTCGAGTGTTGTTTTTGGTTGATTAATCTGATTCGTGGGAGATTTCGTATCCGGCATTGAGACAAAAATGAGGATTTTTTAATTACTTTCGTCGTACAGCGAGTCAGACGGGAGGAAATGGCGTTGACGGGCCAATTAATGTCCAGGATCTTTTTTGCCTTCTCCGCTTGATTCTCTCGTTTCTGGAGGCCACGCGGGAATACAACATCTCGTCGTTGTCGCGGCGTCTTCGTGATGCCTTGGAGGTAAGACCGCAATTGAGCGCAGCTCGAGGGTAAGATACGTCCCTGGGCGTGTCTCTCTATCTTATTCGCCAAGTTTTTCCAGATATCATTTTTTTTTTTTCTTTTTTTTAGGCAAATGGAAAATGAAAGTGCAAAAATTTCCTTAAAATTTGTTTTTCATTTATTTCAGCTCGCCAAGAAGTTTTGGCCTTTCGCTACGAGTCGAAGAGGCGAGGCGAGGGTATCCACAGCACCAAAGAATGTTTTTTCCCTTTGAATTCTCTCAAATGCAAGAATGCACATCCTCATGTATGTATATCCATGTACTTTGTTGGCGAAAGCACGATGTTGTGTAATATAATGCGATGTGGAGAAAGTGCGAGTTTTTCGTCCATGCATATAAGTGTAAAGTTGGATGGCGAACAGTACACCCCCTCGTATATATGTACATTGTAAGGTACACATTATATGATGTTTCGGAGTTGGAGAGAGAAATAATGCTGCTGTGCACGCCCGAGAAAATATAAATATTTTTACTTCCTCGTGTGTTGTATACGGAACGCGGACATGCTACGTCATAGAGTTTTCCAAAGCAGCGTTGGTGTTTTTTTTCAAGCACCTTTTTCCATTCACGCCATTTAGTTTGATGAGTAAACCCCCCGAGTATTCGTTGCGCGTCGAATAGAAGCCCGAAAATAAATTGAAAAAAAAAAAAAAAAAAAAAAAGTCTCCATCGTCGTTGCGTCATTGTTACAGCAGGAGAGGAGGACGAGATTGATGGCATTGCGTTTTCTGTTTTTGCTTTTAGCTAAAGTAACGCTTCCGCTCTCTCTGTTTATTCTGCACCGGGGGACGGGTGTATAAATATACATGCAGGTACGGGTACGGTCTTTGTTGTAGAAACAAGCATTGCCCACGTGTGTAATGTAGGCCATCGGTGCGGGGGAGGAAGAAAAAAGGTTGGAAAACAATTTTGCCATCGTCAGGATTTTGCGCTTTTTTTGCATGGGCCGATGACCGATGAGTTTACGCACCCACGTGTTGTCCATTTTTTTTTTCCAAAAGAACCTTCCCCCCCTGAGGATTTAAACTATATAGGTGCATGTAAATAATTTTGTCTCTATACATGGGTCCGTAGTCTGAATTTTCGTTCTCGTCCAGCCTCGGGACGCGGACAAATCAAACGGCTCGTAAAACATTTCTTTCGCCCCTTTCCAACAACGCTCCTCGGGAATTTTCATTAAAACGCTATCGATAGGGGGACACCCTTTTCTTCCTTTCCCTCGCGCGAACCCGCGGTTTTCGTTCGCACTTGCGTGCCACTGTTTGTGTATACCCCCCCGAGAGGATCGAAAGTTTTTGTTGCAGAGTGGAGTCGCGCGGTACTACCACTATACTCTTCTATACTTGCGGTACTTGCGGCTATCGCTAAAAGTTGGGGCGTGCGTGGGCATCCAGAGAGGGAGGAAATGTTTGTTTGAGCGCGACGAGAGACGCGACAACTATTGTTTGGTCGACGACTTTAATTACGAAGGTATTCGCGCGAAATGGCACAATATAGGTACTTTTAACCGGAGAAAGTTGAATCAGGGTTTTTGCCGTGCATAAGCCCAAACGATATATGTATATCGTATGGGGTGTATTTTTAACTTTTTCGTTGTTTACGAGCACAGGGATATCGGGATAGGCCACGCGAAGCACCTTTTGGGCGTAAGAGCCAATTTACGGCGAATGGCTTTATTATATCGTGGGGTCGTTCGAAGGACGCGCTTCTTCTTCTTTGGCTGGTAAGTTTCTTTCTTTTTGTTTTTTATAGCCATTTGGCATAAATTGCTTACAAGATAAAACTCGATTTTATCGATCAACGATTTGATCCTGACGAGCCGATGTATACAGGGATGTTTCTTTTTTTTATCGCCAAAAGAGGGAGGCCAACTTTCTCGAAAGACAGTCTTTTCAATAATATACCGTGTTGAGTACAAAAGAAATTTTTTTTTTTTTTTTTTGCAACACAAATAAGGAACAAACTACATTGCTTGTTAAACGATGTACGTACATACCTATCGCCGTGTAAGTCTCAAAACCACTTCGATACAAGTTTGTACAAAGTTGTAACAAAGTTTACATCGAATAACATATACATATACACATGCATCAAACCAAAATCGAGGAGTACCCTACAGGGGAGGATGTGTATATGGCAGGGAGAAGGAGATAATTGATTCATAAACTAATGGAGTTTGATTGTTGGATATTTGTTTGCCGTTACACGGGGTATTTGTAAAATAACAAGCTATCTACGTCACGGTGAGAGTAAATACGAAATTTTGGGTCAATTTACGGTATGAGTATACGTTATGTATCTGCCGGTGATGTATTATCGGCGCGCAAGGAAAACTAATTTCATGCAAATGAAAGGCAGAGAGCACAAGCCGCTACATGGGAGTCCCGAGGATGCGAGGAAGGTATATATATATATTATGATAACGTCAAGCACCCATACTTGCGATTACTGCCCCCCTTTCAATCTTTGTACAGCTTATGTACGAACGAGCAACTCGATGATAATAATGTTTCATCCCTCAACAACTGTGGACAACACACATACGCGATTACATCACTTTAAAAGCTCGCAAGTATGTATACATATACATGTATATAAAATGAAAAAAAAAAAAAAAAAAGGATGGCTCTTTTTGCGATAGAGCATAGCGTCACCATCGCATACCCGAGAGATAAGTAAGTACACGGGGTAGGTATGTATTATACACTTGTATAGTGAGACAGACGTACACCTTATCTCCCCAGGGGAGCTTGGAGAGGAGTCAAGGGGGGGGCGGCGACGTAAGTATATACGCTCGAAAGCTGTGGCCCAGATAAGACCAGCAACAACCACCCCCCCCCCCCCAAGTCTTCGTTCTCTCTGCTTCCCTGCACATACGTGTACTCGACCCGAATTCCGGATGTCAGCTATATGACAAAGCCGCTAATTAATTAGCTCCCCCTTCCCCCGCCCGACGCAAGCCACTTACCATGTACATTCCCTATGTATATTCTCTCTCGTCTACGGATGTCGCTGTTATTGTTATTGCTATTGTTGCGAAGCGGAACTCCATTTGCGTGTTGATGCACTTACTTGTGAGGATGAAAGTGCACTATACTTTTACATCTATACCGTTGATGCTTGCTTGGAGGGAGATCTTTTTTTTTTTTTTTTTTTTTTTTAGTTGATTGAAGCTCAAACGATTTTTATACGTCTTTTCTCCATTTCTGCGAAGGTTTATGTACATGTACATCGTGAGATGTGGTTTTGCCTTCTCTTTTTTTGCACGATTTTACTTAAACCATTGTTGTACGGTAGTGTTGATAATCTCAGAATACAACTCAAGTTTTTTGTTCTTACATTGTTTTCACTGTCACTCGCGTACTCGAAAGAGCAAAAGTAAAAAAGTACACTAATAAATTTACCCATTCGTTGGTTATTTGTAATTTTCGAGTCCAATGAAAATCCATGATGGATGAAAAAATAAAAAATCTAATTTTCAAATTGTATGATACTTTTTCAAATTCAAAAGTTCCCGCATAGAAAATCTGAGCGACCAATCAACTCACCCTGATTTCCCGCGCATTTCGTTTTCGGTGTCTCTCTCTGTCGAGTTATCTGCGGCAAAGTGTAATCAATCAGTGACGGTATTAACGTTATTAATAGTGTTTTATAAGTTAAAATTGTGTTGAAAACGTTAAGAAATGTGTTTTTAAAGCAAACATATTTTGTTTTCGTTAGTTTTGTTAGCGAAATTGAAGTTGTCATTGCTGTGGACTAAGGTTGGTGAGGAAAAAGTCAGAACCTAACCTATAACTCAATGACACTTTTTTGACACTTGTAGGATTCTCTTTGTTGTGTTTTCGTTTTAATCAGCTTCAGTTTTTTTTATACTTTTCGTGTTGTTTAATATATTGATTAAATAGTGTTACCTTATACAAATTACATGTATCGACTAGTCTGGTTAATTTTTAAATTTAATAAAAATCGTGTAATACAGATTTTATGTTATCAACTTGATAAATAGTCGTTGTGTTTAATGTTTACAGCATTAAACAGTCATAATGTCTTTTGCAACAAGTTATATATTGGCTGAAATCACAGCTACTTGTGATTCCCTTTGTTACAATGATGGGCAAAATGTCTTAATAGACAAAAATACTATTGGTAATATAAGTTTATTGGACTCTTCACTGTTTTTTGAAGTTAAATTTTTAACATATGAAATATTTATGTAAACAGAGGCAATCAAGGACTTGATCAGATATCTGAGAAGAGATGATGAAAATAATACTATTCGTTGTTATCTGGGACAAACCAAAATATTACAAAAAGATTTGATAAAGATATTTGTAAAGCATTCTGATAAAACAGAACTATGGAATGTTCTTTTAAGGTAATTGTCAACATGAAGTACTTGATCTAACTTTTTAATTACATTTTAACTTATTCTCATTTTCAGATTAATGATTAATTTGACAAGTCCAGCTTTGATGTTTTATAAGGATGAACTTCCTACTGATAAAATTACAAGAAGTATTTATCTGCAAATACTTTCACACTTGCAAGAGTACAAAAGTGCAACGACTGATGATGCCATTTGGTTGGTTGTTCAAAAAAAATTGGAAAACATTCTGAAAATTGTAAGTATGACTTATTTAAGCGTTCAACATTAAAATATCAATTAACATTAAGTGTTGATTTTAGGATAGTGCTGAAAGAGGAGAAGAAAATGAAATGATACTAGAGAGAATTCTCACATTGATAAGAAATGTTTTACAAGTACCAGCAAGTGATACCGAAAACAGAACTGATAATGATACAAACGTTCATGATGAGGTAATTAAGGATAACTAATAAAATATGTCCTACACATTTGTCAGAAATATTCATTTACTTTCTTTATTTTAGCTACTATTTGCCCTCAATACATCTGGTATTTCTGACCTGCTTGTTTACATCGCGAGCTCTAGTGCAGAGCAGCAATACCATATGCAGATCTTAGAGGTAAGAATCTACTTCTCACGAATTAAAAGCTTATCAATAGAAATATCAGGATTTAAAGTTTATTGACATTTCAATTTAGATAATAGTATGTATGCTGCAAGGTCAAAATCCTGAAAAGTTAGCCAAGGCTGAAATAAACCGCAGCGACGCTGAGAAGCAAGCTGACGAGATTAGGCTCATGAATATGAGACGAAAGGAAATAACTCAGAAAACTGAAAAAATGAAGAAGTATGCCGGTTCTAGGTAAGATGTATCACTTGTTAACTACTGTTCAAATTTTTTTTTTTTTTTTTATTTGTTTTCATCACAGTAGAAAAGAATGACTCAGAGTAAAATGGTAGTTTTCCTACGAGTTTGAAAAGTCTTTGTTTGCGAACCGAGAGGTTTGCGGCCCGAGCCAAAGGCGAGGTCCGTAACGAGGTTCGTAATGGTAGTTTTCCTACGAGTTTGAAAAGTCTTTGTTTGCGAACCGAGAGGTTTGCGGCCCGAGCCGAAGGCGAGGGACGTAACGAGGTTCGTAAAGGAGACTTTTCGAACGAGTTCCGGAAAACTGCTTTTTCGCCCGAGGAAGTACCAGCCTCCCAAAACCACCCGAGGGCGGAAAAAAACTTTTTTACAGTCGCAAATAGGATTTATAGGCTAGTGTAAACAACGTAATGAAAAAACGCTCTGGGAGCAACTGGGCATTAAAAGCTTCCAGACTACCGTACGACATAAAAAAAAAAAAAAAAAAAAACGAAAAAGCTGTGCGTGACGCTCACGTTTTATGCGTGTAAAAAGCTCTTTACCAGGGGCAAATTAAAGCTCCGAACAATTTGCAATTCGACGCACTGTCTTGCCCGGACGCGCGTAACGAACTACGGGTCCCTGTGGGCAGGAGTAATTTTCGCTCTTGTTTCGCAAGGGTGTTACTACCGTGTAAACAATAAAAAAAAAAAAAAATGAGGTTCACGCGTCAAAGCGCGAAAACAAATGGAGACAAAAAGAGGCTCACGGTTGTTGCGAAAACAGAAGTGCAATTAATATGACCTGGATTTTTCAGTGGCAAGTGTAGGGCGGCATGTAACAAAAAAGCTCACGACTCAATGGTTATGCTTTCATGCACTCGTCGGGGAAGTCGGTCGCTCGCATGAGCTTTTTTTCGTTCCAAGCTTCTTTCTTTTCGAGAGCGAAGCACTTTTTACGCGCTTGCGAGCGCTACGCTTAAAACCGCGAGCGGATTCCGCTGTGCCGCTGCTCCTGCCGGTATAGTGGTTAAGCATCAGCCAATCGGAGGGATTTTTTTTTCAGCTCTGAGGCTTTTGTTCCTGGCTTGTTGAATGGCGTGGCCTGAATTGATGGAAGTGGGACGAGAGCTGGATTTTAAAAGATTTTCTTCAACTTTCTGCAAAAACGCTCGCGCGAGGACTGAAGTGGTCTATTGTCGTTACGAGCATTTGCCATTTAAATAAACATTTCCCCCCTTCCACTTTTTTTTTTACTGATGTCGGTTGCAGAGCACTTTCAGTTTTAAGTTTAAATTGAAAGAAAATTTACGTGCTTTTCAATGAAACCGTATTTTCATCTTCAATTTGAATTTTCTACCTTTTCATGCGGTTGAGAGCAAAATTGCTTTACAGTCGGTTGGATGCGAATAAAGCCTACGTAATTTTAATTTTGGTACAGGCATTCCAGATTTGGAGGTACGTACGTCGTACAAAACATGAAGGCCATCGGTGATAACGAAATGATCTGTCACAAGCCGTATCAAAAAATCGAGGATTTGAATTTCAGCGTTACAAAGGTAAGAAATTTTTTTTTTATAATAACTCGTCCAAATTTTCCAGTTTATTATTGATTAAAGTAAATAATATTGGAGCAGCTGAACAAATGCCAACTAGCGATCCGTAATTAAAATGTAAAAATATTAGTAATTCCAATGTTCGCGATGATTTGGAGCAATATTGAAATTTTCACTGGCTTACCTTTTTAATTTGCATAATAAAATATCAAAATTTTACCTTTTATGAAAAGCCCGCCCTGGTTTCGTTTTCCCGCGAAAATATTTATTTTAAAAATCAATGTTCAGCAGTAAATTGATTATCCTTTTTTCAATTTATTAAGTACCAATACAGAATTCAATGAAACCATCCAAAGTATCGACTGCACATTTGCTTTTACAATAAAATTTTTACAATCTCAGCACTCTAGTTTCCGACCAAGAAAAAAACATTCCCGTTGAACTCGAGTTTAATCAGATCGCCGATGCTTTTTTTCAAAATTACAATAAGAGCACGCAGAGCTTATTTTCGGGCCTCCGATCGCGAGCGGCGGCTGCTCAAAAGCTCATCATCGCCGACTGCTGTTGCAAAAGTTCAATTAGCAGCCGGTGTTAATCAGACAGCCAGAGAGGGAGAGGTAGTGCCATCTCGGCGTAATTAGCGTTCGCTCGATATAATCGGCTCCCCGCAAGCTCTCCCCCATTTTCCGTAATAATACCAAACTGGGTCGGAGATATCACTACGGAAGTAGTACCTTTTTTTTGCAAGTTTTTCGTTTGCTCCCACAGAGTTTTGTTTCAGCGCCCGCGATTGCTTTTTTTTTTTTTTTTTTTTTTTTTTTCTTCTATTTCATCGTTCTCACGGACCGAAGGATTCTCGAACTCGGCGTTTCATTAGGGGGGCCTCGTAAATTTCGGGCTACGCGCGAGGCTGTCGAGATTGAAATCAAGTTGGACCCTCCAGTACTTACTTCGACGCTTCTCGAGCAAGTTTTCGCAGCTCGTTTGCGGAGCTCCGAATTTTCTTTTTTTTTTTTTTTCGTCGCACAGGGAAAGTTCAATAAGCGTTTTTACTCAACTTTGGTTTCCACTTCCATTGCAGCAAAAATTAAAGAAGCGGCGTCTGAAGAACGTCACGGTGGTCGAGTCGGCGGCCGAGCGCACCTCCGCGCTGAGCGTGCGCCTCTTCCTCAAGGAATTTTGCATGGAATTCTTGAGCGGCGCCTACAACGCGGTCATGAGATACGCGCGTTCCTGCATCAACGCGAACACCACCAGCAACGATGATACCAGCCATTACCTCTGGGCGTTGCGCTTCTTCATGAGATTCAATCGCAATTACAAGTTCCAAGTGAAATACGTCAGGTATAAACACTTTCCCTGAATCCCCATTTTCGTTTTTACTTTTATATTCCTTCTTTGAACTGGTGGTCCTGTGTGTAACTTGTGGAACGAGGGAACAGGAACGAAAAAATAAAGGCTTTTATATTGGTTGCTCGCCGATGCTGGTCGAGAGAGAGAGGCCCTTCTTTTCTCTCTTTCTCTGTCTCCTACGCTCGGTGTGCAGCTCTTTTATAGCCACTTGGCTAAATAAATAGCTTTCTTTTGCCCGTCCGCTTGCTTGGCTTTTAATTTTTTTTTTTTCTACAGTTCCTGCTCTTTCGCTCTACTTTTCTGTGATGCGATGTGTATTGGTTTGGCTATTTCGGCTGCTTTTTTTTTAACTCTTGCACTTTAGGTAATTTCGATTGCCTTTGTTGAATCATCGATTAAAAAGCTAGTTCTTTTTTCCCCTTTCCTTTTTTTTTTACATTTTGCCAACTTTTACATCGTGATCATTGAATAATATAATTATAAAAATTATCCTACAGTGAAACTATAGCGACGGAAGTATTCTATCTCGTACAGAGGCAAATAGACTTTAATTACGAAATGATAACCACCGACAAGAAGAAAATATCCTACTGGTCGACGAGGCTGCATCTGGCCGTCAGCGCGTATCAGGTCAGCGACAATATTTTGTTTTTCATTGTACTGGAAATTTTCTGTAGTGCCCTTCTCAAGATTTTAAGCAATTATGTTTCGTGATGCCAGGAATTGCTGTACACCCTCATCGAGATGGACAAATCTCTGGATAAAGGAGTGAAGAACTCGAGCCGCGTGATAATGGGCAACATTTTCTACGTGCCAGAATACCGAGACACGATACTCTCCCAGCTGCTCAACTATAACGAGCTGACAATGTCAAGGTGATTGCCACGATTCCCTCGCCTATTGCCCGATCCTTGGAATATTCGCGTGATTAAGGGTCTTTCTTGCCTCTTTAAGTACTACAATACGCGCGATTCCAATAGGAGAGCTTCCCTATTTCTTTGCGAAAGGGAAGGGAGAGAAAAGCTTGTTGTAACTGTGTACCGGTGTACAGTAGCCTCGAACGACTGTTTGCCCAAAGTTTTATCTACCGCAAACACATTGGAGAAGAAACTTCGAGGCTCAATCGCTCGACTCCCCACCCCCCCTACTCCTTGTTTTTTCCTTCTCTCTGCTTCCCATGTACAACAACACGAGCGCCGCAATTTTTTTCCCCCGTTACTAGCGCTATGTACCGTCCGACGGAATAAACAACTCCTATGTCGAGCATCCGGTCCGCGCTGGAAAACACGATGCGAAGTTCGGCTCTTGACTTTTCCGCCCATACATACCCCTTTTCCGTCTTTTTTTTTTTTTTTATCATTCCTCGTAGTCGTAGAGTCTCCATTCAATGGGGCCGAAAGGGCTCGGAAGAGACTTGTGTACGCCAGAGCATCTCTAATAAATAAAGAGATTTATCTGTGAATGGATTTGCCAAAACTTGCGTAGCCGATACCTTTTATTGCTTCATTTTTCTCGCGCAGTTTTTTTTTGTTATTCGGCATCCATCCCAGAACGAGTTTATGGATTTTTTTTTTTTACAGAGACTACTTGGTGGATCTGGTCACGACGGCGCACATTTTTCTGACGATGCTGAAACATTTCTGCGAGAAGGAGCGTCACGTCGTCGTGCGCAAGCCGAAGCGCAAGAAACAAAAAAAAAGTTAGCACTTTTATCTCATTATTGACAACTTTGTTACTCGACTGTATTTTTATTTTTTTAATTTTTTTTTTCTTTAATTGGAATTACGTGACATTCTCTCGAGACTTGGCATAAAAACTGTCAATCGCAGTCACTGCCCCGTGAACCGAAAAAAGAGTAAAATATATAGAACACTGGGAAAAAAAAAAAAAAAACAACATAGAGAACGAACGAAACGAATAAAATGAGAAATTTCTCGTTTTCACCCACAGAGACAAAGCCAGCGAGTGCAGCGGCAGCAGCTGGAACTGGACCAGCACAAAGCTTGGAGGATCGATGGGATGGGGTGGGACCGGACGTGTCGGCTGTGCTGCAGCACAACGAGATACCGGAAGTGACGCCTTTCGACGCGACGATCGACACCCCCATTGACGAGCAGAAGTGAGTTGGCCAGTGCCGTCTTTTTCAATTTTCACCGGTACAGCACACACAGACGTTGCGGTGCATTGTACCATTGCACCCACCTCTATCTCTCACTTTTTGAGCTTCCGTAATATATCGATTTCGTGTCAGCTGTTGCGCTTTAAATTCGCCGTGGCGTGAACTGCAGAAAATAAAATGACCGCGCTGTTGGCTTTTACCTCGATGAGATTCTATCGGTCGATCGGTTTCGTGTTTTGTCGTGCAGTTTTAACGGACGATTTGCTGCTGCCCAGATCCGCAGGGATTTCACAACTAGATTTATAAATCTTTGGTCGGATCGAATTATCCAAAGTTTGAATGGCTGCGTGTATAAAATGACGTAACGAGGCTCCGACCCAAGTAAACACACCCCTAAAACTTTCATTCGATACGGCCTGCGCGTATACCTCGCAGTTCTATATCTGTCGCTTGGAAAAAAATTTCGAGGAGCTTTCGTCGAGGGCACTCGATCCGTTCGACCGCTCGGGGGATTATTCCCTGCAGAAATTTCGAGCGCGCACGTGTGCCGGGACTGTTTATACTCTCGATGATTGCTCGTGCCCCTCTGACTTTTGCCAAGGGGCTCTTAAACTCTCTGTCTGTGTGTACAGGTGTAACAAGCCAAGTTTTCGTGGCCGCGTGCTAATGGCATTGTATCGATCGATTTATCCATAAGGGATATTGGGTATTGGCGAGAATAGGAGAAAAAGAGAGCATTTTTTCCGAGAGAATTATGGAACTGCTCGTAATTTTCCCTGCTGGGGGGGGGGGCTTTTTTCTCCATTTTTCGTTGATTCGTAATTGGGAGAGCTGCGAATCGTATACCACACGGTTTATCGATATTTATTCGAAACAAAGAGTCGTGTACCCCTGCTTTTTTTCCAACCAAGAGCTGTTAGCGTGCAGCTACAGTAATTGGGAAATAGTAAAATACGAATGCGCAAAGAATTTCAAGTGCTTGTTGTTATTTCAAGTTGATGGATGAAAAAACTTACAACATTTTAACCACGAATCGTTAAAAATTAATGACTTTTAATACACATACCTACGTAATTGGGTGAACGTATTTCTTTCTCATACATATTTCATGCATTAATCAGACAAGAAGAAAATTCCTCATTATTATTCAATGTGTATGTATCTTTTATCTGTTTCTGCACAAAGGGGCGACGCCATGAAAAGGATCCAGAAGCTTCTGCGCTGCAAGGAGTACGAGCAGGCAATCGGAATTCTACGCTCAGCAAGGTAATGATGCCGCTTTTACTTTCACGACTCGGTTAGCTCTTCTCTTCCTTTTTTTTCCCCTTTTCTTCTTCTGCTTCCTCTTTTCTTCTTCCCAAATTAGTTGACTTTAAAGGAATCCAAATGTGTACCGCTGTAATAGTCCATCTTAATTTTGCGAAACATCAAAGACACTCTTGTACACGCAATTATTTCGAATGTTTTACTTTGACTTTGATATTAATTTACAATTGTACCAAGACACGTTCAGCCAGATTCTTTACATAGTAAACCATAGCCACTCGAATTGGAGCAAAGCAATTGATCTTCTCGAAAGTTATCCAACTGATGTAAAAGAGATATCTGTTCTCCAAGTAGAACAGGGCAAGTTAGGTCAGACGTATATTATCTTACTACCCGTTCTACTACTACTACTACTACTACTACTACTACTACTACTGTACTATCTACTGGGTACTCTGGCTTTGGTCGCATTATTCAACTCCCAAAAGACTCCTCCCCTTCTGCCTGTCCTTTTCCTTCTTTTCGCGACTTAACGATCAAATTAAACGAATTTTTGTGTTTTTAACGATGACGTAGGGCGCACTTTGAACTTCAGGACGACGATAACACTTATACCTTTCCCTCTCGTTGCGCCTAAAAAGGCTCGCTTGTTAATGAATGGCTGCGTCGTCACTTGGGCACATTATACGCCCGCAGTAACAAGCGATAACGGCACCTCACCTTCGGTTGGATCGACATTAGTTTTATACAACTTTTTGGTGACCATTAAAGGTCACAAGGAAAGAATATCACCGCGACCGTGGAAGGATCTCGATGTAGTGGTCCAAGCACGAGGCGAAACCGCTGCATGTGCAAATAAAAAAAAAAGAAAAGAAAAGAGATTACACGTCCAAAGGGAAACTCAGCGCCGCAAATCTGGACGTTTGCAGAGCGTCACCACCGCAGCTGGAAAAGTAATTAGGACGAATTCGCGGCTCCCCCAACTTGGCTCCTCGGTGAGCCCGTATCCTGGACATGGGTATAGCCGAGGAAAAGTGTCGTACAAGTGCTTCTCCTTCTGTCTGTGAAATTAAAACTTCCGTGAACTGCGCGTTCGGACTCTCACGAATCTCTCTGTAAAAACCAATAATCTCCCTTTCCCTGAAAAATTAAAATCATCCGCCTTCTGTTGCGGATGGTTCCCAGGGGTGTGATTACTCTGAAAAAAAAAAAAAAAAAAAACCCGTACTTAGCTCGCTTAGGTACCCAACAGCAAACGTCGAAAAATTCTCTCGCGTAAATCAGCCTCTCCTCCCCACCCCCAACATTTACGTACAGCCTGAGCAATTAAGTGCACGTTTAAGGAGAAAAACAAGCTACTCTCACCGCGCGCGCGGTGTACATTGGTCCTTAATTTTTTTTCCCCTCCCTCTCCGCGTAGCCTTTGCTTAATTACGCGCTATTACCGCTTTCAAGCCGCTCACTTTCGCCAAATTGATTCGGCGCCCTTGGGCCGTGGTACATTATATGTTCCGCGTGTACACGCGCGCGACTGTGAAACAGACTACGAGGGGGTGGTAAAGGTATACGCAGTGAACACGGGGAGCCATTCAAAGCACGTCAACTCGAAGGGAACGAGAGAAACGCCTTCGCTTCGACGCGCATTTTTTCCCCGTGTGCACCCAACGTGGGCCCCTCCGAGGTTAATTAAACCGCTCGCTAAAGTCGGGATTTTTATTCGTTTCTTTCTTCCCGCGTGCGATCGAGCGACTTGATTTTCGTGCGACTCCTTGTGTACGCACCGAAGCATACCCTTGCACCAACAAGATCTCTAATTATTTATCGAGGGGATATACAGGGAGCTCCGTAACAAAGCTCCCACCGGCTGGCCAGTCCTTTCGGGAAAAGAGGAGGGAGGACCGATCGCCGGAGTCGGTATTTTTCGCCGCGCTCACGATCGACCCTCCCCTCGCGCGCGCACACGGAAAACAATGCGGACTATATATCTCTCTATATGTGTGTATAAATATACCCGGGACGTGAAATTCCTCGTCGTCGTGCACGGCAGCTCGAACGTGGGGTGCAGCAGGCTTTCCTTCTCCCTTTTCCCCCCTCGATGCCTTTTGTCTCTGCTGAAAACAATAGGGGAGTCCCTCGCACGCGTGTCGGTGTGCGGAAAAGAGAGGCACCGAGGAAAAGCTGCTCCGGCGAAAAGCAACTAAGCTCCCCCCCCGTGTTCCCTTCGGCCGCTTTCCTTTCTTTTCTCGAATAACGGGGTTAAAGATACCCCCGGCAATGGGTTCCGTGTGTGTATAGGCGCTTAAAAGTGAGCTGCCGGTGCACAATGACTCTTGCGGCCTATGCAGCCCGTGTGGTATATGTATGCATCATAGGCACACAGAGGCGCGTTTTTGTTTCGTTCGCTCTTCGTTAGTTCTGGATTTAAAGCGCAGAAGCACGCATGAGTTCGTGTGTACGTGGCTGTTTTTTTTCCCCTCCCTCGAAGGGAGAATTTTATCGGACGAGTGCGTTGAAGTGGACATTTTTTTTTTTTCGGGTGTAATTTCCGCTACGCGAGTGTATATACATATCGAACTTTGGGCTTTCGAGATGATTAAACGCGAGGGAGAAATGAGCTTTTGTTTCGATTTGCTTTTCGACCTTTCGTTCCGAAGCTCGGGATCTGCTTTTCGAGTCTTTGATCGAGTTTTCCGTGGTATTTTTCAATTTTCCCTTCTCCCCGATGGCAAACAGGATCGAAAATACCTATACATGGTCCACCCGTTGGAGTAACGAAAAATCGGATTCGCTTTGTTACACGTTGGCCGAATAAACATTGAATGAGTTGATTTAAAAATTTGGCTTCCTTGTGAAATTGAACATAGGACCTTTTGTCCTGCGTAACAGGTGTATATCATACACGCGTTTTGATCCTACCGGGGTGCGGGTTTTCCAATTTTATCGGGCCCGAAGTTACGTACATATCATATTCCCGCGAGAGTGGTGTGGATGGCGAGTATGAGGATTCATTTGCGGTGCGTATTAAAACTTGGGCCACACGGGCACTCGTACACGAGAGGCTCGAGAGTTTGTAAAACTTGTAAGTTTTTAATGAAGTTATGCGTGCACGCCAAAACGCGCTTGTTGCGAAACTACAAAGCTGAATACGGGGTAATGCGAAAATAGGACCACTCTCGAATGCGCCCTTGGGAGCAAAAGCCATTTTCCATGTACCTGTACTCGCCTTCTCTGTGAGCTAATAGTTCGATAATGAAACACACCCGTCATCGAAGGGGCTTCTTACTTTATTTTCAACGACAAATCGGTCAATCTGGAGGGCGTTGCTTGTTAGAGAGTTAGTGTTGTATGAAATGTTTAATTTGTAATGAAACAATAGGTAAAAAAACCACAATCAATTATTTGCCACCCTAAAATTTTATTTCAATCACAAGGAAGGTCCTTATGCTGTAATTGATTGGTATTGGTTTTTTGTTTTGAAGATGGGCTTACAATTTATAAAATTATATGCATAAAAAATAATATATTGGAAAATTCACGGCAGTTTTGCTCTATAGCGCTCTTTGGGTAAATACAAATGATCGTAGTGACCGGTTAAAACCACCAACTCGAATGAAACAGCTTTTCACCCGAAAAACACGTCCAAGAGCCCGATCGTCGTTCGGCCATGCAGCGAGCATATTTTATCCAGATAATACCACCGGCATCAGCCATAATCGCCCATAAAATACAATCCCGCATTAACCCCCCTCCCTTTAGCAGAGACAGAGCAAAGCTCGGCTGCAAAGTTTATTCTCAAATTAAAACGCCACAGCGAGCCGATACGCGTCGATGGAAAGGTACACAGAGCCTTTTTTTTTGTTCCACGTCACCGACAGTACGTTCGTGCCGGTTATAACTCCGACTGCCGTGCTCTAATCGACAGGGGGTAAACAGATATTGTTCAACCCCTGCGCGCCGCCGTCGTTCCCTTTCTCCTACCTTGTGCATTTTATTTTTCGATAGCATAGAAATTATATTTTTAAATTCCCCCCAAAAAAATACCAGTTGATAAACCGAAGGAAAGAAAAGATGGTAAAAAACCAGCTCCGCACGCGAGGACGCCTCATTTGCGTTTCGGACGCCTGAAATCGCGAAAAAGCAGCGAGCGGCCGCGATAATCGCGGTCCGACCTTGGACGCGTCCGAGCGAAAGGGAAAAAAGTCCCGCCAGATAAAAGTCCGCGCGCAGCGAAAGAGAAAACGAAAAAAAAAAAAAGATTGACTTGACCTGTGGAAAAAAAAGACGTGCAACCCGCAAACCTGGCACTTAATACAGCAGCGCGTATTCATCCACACAGGTATATACGCGTACCGGAAAACAAAGAGAGGGAGGGAGAAGCGCAAACAGACGCGCGTGGCGGGGTGCAGCTCACCCTCCTCCACCTTCTTCGCTCCTAGTCACAGCATCAGGAGCTTGCCAAAGAGAAATATTGCGCTCTCGACCTTGCACCCTCTCTCGCGCAACCCTTTCTTCTCCCCGCGGCGTACATGCTTGCACACGTACACTGCCGCAAGCCTCGATCGATGCAGGCCCGTTCCACTGGTGTATATTTTATACACACACAAGTGCAAACAGTTACTTCACGAGAGGATTTGTTACGCGTGCATCTTCAGGGATGACGTTTGTATACAAGTATGGACACGTGCCTGCGTTCATCTTCGGGTGTCGAGATTACCATTTTTTTTTCTTTTTCTGTTTTTACACTCATTGGTGTATAAACTCACGGAGGACGGACTGTGATTTCTTTTAACTTCCATACGTAAGAGTCAATAGGCGTATAAATTTTTTTTTTTTTTTTTTTTTTTTTTTTTTTTTTTTTTTTTT